GAACTTGGAGACATTTAAAAGTGTGGTTAACTCCCTGGCTCAGGGAGGCTGTGGAAGGAATAAGACCTCACACATTACGATGGAAGTGGAAAGTGCTAATAAGATCTCTGTGGAAAGCGCTTTGACAACATCTATCAAAATAAAAATGTAGCTTACTTTGACCCTCCCCTTCTAAGAATTTCATGTGTGCCAGGATTTCATTATACATTGTGTAATAGCAAAGACTGAAAACAACCTAAATACCCCCTCAGCGGGTGACTAGTTAAATAAATTATGGCCCAGTCATACAATGGAATACTGTACAGACACAGAAAAGAAAGTCTATGTTCTAATACGCATCCATCCCCAATATAGGCCAGGAAAAAGGGAAAGAGTATATATAATGTTATTGTTTGTGAGAGAAAAATATATAAATGAAAATAGACTTAGAATATTTCTAGAAGGATATATAAGCAACTGGTAACCATGGTTGCTTCTCAAGAGGCAAAGAAATGTTTTTACTGTCTGCTTTGGGTACCACATGCATGCATTATTTATTACAATCAATTTCTAAGCATAGATATGCATAAAGATGTTCACTGTTGTATTGTATATACAAGACAAAATAAATCAAACACCACTAGAAAGACCTAACAGTGGGTTCTTTTTAAAAATATTACTATTGCAATGAAATTGTAATTATTTTTAATCCTAATTAAATTGTACTGAGTCACTTTAAATAACTTCTAGTCTCAAGTACCAGAAAAGGAATACAAATTACTTCCCAGGATATTTAAACAGCTCTCAGGTGTCCTTACAGGATAAAAGCCAGTAATCTTTGAGAGTTCATGGAGAACAGAAGAAATATCAGAAGACTGGAGATAGACAAGAATTCCAAAGTTCATATACAGAAAAAGAATGGAGCTTAGAAAATTTAGCTGACAACTTTTCAGCAACATTATAGAGATTAGTCAAGGAAGTGGTGAGCATTAAAAACCAACAAGAATTCACTCAGAACTATGAAGAATAAACTATGCAAGTTATGAAGAGAAATATTTTAAAATCGTTGGAGTTGCATTTTTTTTAACCTTGTTGAGTAAAATTTCAGAAATACCTGAGACTCTGGGCTGCACAGGGAATGCTGGTGTGGGACAGGGAGGTCAAGTGAGAAGGGCTCCCAACCCACCTGGCCTCAGTTTCCCCAGAGCTGCCCTTTAAGTGACTGCAGGAATTTATTAGGTTCTTCTTTTCAGGAAGGCACTGACAATATCTTTCAACATAGCTGGGAGATAAAATACAGAGCTATAAATGTCATCAGGAAGTTGAACACCAGGCTTCTGTACAGAACACCTGGCTCACTCAAGTGTGTGACAAGTGATTTAAACTCCAAGATAATACTCAATGTTAAGACTGGCCTTGGATTACTCACCATTCTCAATGAAAGGAAATAGATATGAAAATGTTTTAAAAACTTTATAGGGCCACACAAAAGAAAGTTGGTATTATTATTATTATTTTGAAGGCACTGCAAATTCTGGAACAGATAACAAATACCAAAGGACCAAGGCAAAACAGAAATAAAAAAGGAACCTAATAGGAGAGATCTAATAACCCAGAACTATTAAAGTGAAACATATATTGTGCACCGTGTGACACAGGGTAGGCTGAGAAAACCCTGACATAGCGCAATCCCATACAGGTTAGGTGACCATGATCTCAAGATAATTAGAAGCGTGTCAAGTCTACTAAAAGCCTTAATGCATCAACTGTAGGCTTTGTTCGTGGATACAGAGTGTCCATTATCCCTCTCTTCTGATTAGAAGACACAGGGCCTGCCAGGTTTGTTTTGGGTGCCATGCTTACGAGACACATGTGCCAAGTGGAGCAGTCAGTATGGCAAATTTTGTCATATATGGAAACGACTGAAGCAGCTGGGGATTTAATAACCAGGATACTTGGGCATCCTCAAACATCCGAACATGTATTGGGTTGGAGGAAAAGTCATGATGCATTTTGCAACGAAAAACATAGAAAAAATACGTCATGACTTTTCCGACAACCCAATGTTATATAAGGAAAAAGAATCATTCAGAAGAACAAGTTGCATTAACAGGCATGAGATGACCTGAGTTATAGTCACCAAAAACATGCCTCTCTGCAACGAAGAGCAACTACAGAGGGAACTGCCTGCCTAACGGGGGTTCCCTTCCCATCCTGGAAGGGATGTCCATGTAGGGGATCTTATTCATGAGGGGAGAGAGCCTTGTCAGCCTGAAGATCCCTTTCAACTATAATAACCTGGAATTCTAACTGGCTTGATAGTTTCATGTGTGTAGGTGCTTTTATAGCATATATAATAGGCTATGCAATACATAATATAACACAGATAACATATATTAATAACATGTTTATAATATAATATATATTTATAATATATATTATAATATAAATTTTATAACATAATATGTATTTATAATATACACTTATAATATAATGTAATGTAATATAACATAACATGTGCTTGGCAGTTCTTCTGTATCTCCTTCCCCACCTAACACCTAGGGGTAGAACAGAGTGTATATTGTAGGGGCACATATGTGCTGAAGGAAGTCTACTGATAAAGACATTGCATGAAGCTTATTTGCAAGTAGGAAGGTCATAGTATGGAGTCGGGGAAGAGACTACAAAAGGCAACTTCTCGGACCCTAAACTTTCATCTGCTGATGGAAGGCAAAGCTTCCACTTCTGCTTCTACTTACAAATAAAGCTGAAAGGCACCTGACCCCTAGAATTTAGCACCCATCACAGTACACATTCCACATTTGTACATCTGATAGTGTATCCAACATGCACAGCCAACAGAGGAAAAAGTCTCCCTTAGTACATGCCAAAATGTGCTTTAAAAGCTCTTTAAAAACATTTGTTATGGAACAGAATTCGGTGGAAGGACAGTCCTTTATTTAGATCTTATTTGTGCAAGAAAATTTATATGTCCTTTCTATAGAGTCTTTATCTTACAAGAAAATGTGTCTCTAACTATTGTCCCAAAGTCTTCTCCTTCCAGTCTTGCCTTGCCAGTTACCTGTAACTGTGACCTACCTAGCATCCCCAAAACATACTGCACACATTAGTGCCATCTTTGACCCCCTCAAGTGCTAATTTAGAAATATTGTCCAGCTCTCCAATATGCTCCATAGCCTGTTTCCAAGAACTATTTTAGTTCTCTCCTCCCACCATCTATGGCAGAGTGTGAATAGCTGTTCCTGGGTGCCCACCACTAAGACAATGATAGTCTATCCTCCCTCCTAACTTTCAAGTTCATCTACCCTCTGGATCCCAGGACAGAGCACCATCTACATACATTTGTTTTGATCTATTATATATTATTCTTCCTCTACTTTAAAAAGGTGCTTAATTAAAATATTTGAAAATGTTACCAAATCCTCACTTTCACAGAAGTACAAATAGTATTAAAATAGTCATTGTGCTTAATTTTCCATGCTGGTAAACAGAAAACAAATATTGCCCTCCATCATTGGGAAACAGAGTCACAGAAACTCCTTAGGGAAGGCCAGCCAGCCTGACTAGGGGTGGGAGGGTCAAGGTGAACTAAACCGGAAGGATCTTCCCCTATTAACAGCTAACCCAGACAGTTCCCACAAGACAGGTCATTTCTTGTCAGGTTGGTACAAGATTAAAACAAAGGTTATGATGATGTAAGGGTTTCATCTTACACATCCATGAGCTACAACTGTTTACTAACATGCATTTGGGGGGAAAAATACATGCACATTGATTAACATAAACTATTAAATTTCAGTCTCACATTTAAACAAAGCATTTAAAACTGCCCAGAACTGCCCAGAAGGAGAAAAGGTCTACATTTACTTTGAAATGCAAACTAATTTAAAACACAGACGGGGCAAAAAACACAAATTGCTTGACAAATTTGCATACAATTTCTCTTATGTGCTAAAAAAAATTCAGAAAATTATAGATGTCTTGGGCGCTGATTTTCTAACATTGCCCATTCTCTATTTTTATACTGGCCACACATCTCTCACCAAACATTCCTGTTCCATTCCACACAATGTAATACCTCTGCTAGAGGGGCTCCACTGGACTGCGAGCAAGTGAGAAGTTCAGCTAAAGCTGACTAGGGTCTCAATGCCTCTGACAAAAACAGCTGCTATGTGCAATGGTGGTGCCAGAATACCAAACACATTCTTAGTGTCCTTCCTATACTCCAGTGATGTTTACTGAAGTCCTGAGAAAACATTGCCGGGAACACGAGTGGCAAAGTCTAAAGCCAAATATGCCCCTCTTTGGAGAGGACTGAGCCTGGGGAGGGAGAAAAGAGGAATTTTCAAAAGCTCTTTACAACTTAATTGGCTTTAGTCTGTTTCCAAACCAAGCCCAGGATGGCTGAGGTCTTCCAGAAAGACCATCTGGGAATAGGGCACTAGTCTCATAGACAGGTATTTCTTTGTGAGAGACGTAGGGACAACTAGCCAGGCAGAAGAGCAGAGCCCTGGGCCTGGCTCCCACCAGCAGGCCTTGAAGGAGGTGGGTCCTCCACGGCTGACTTGGTGACAGGTCAGACAGAGGCCTTACTCTCTCTGCAGGCCACCGCTGCCCTAATGAGGGTGACAGCTGGAAGGGTGGGAGAAGGAAGCTCCAGCCTTTAGGGGTAGGAACGCTCTTCCCCTGTGTGCACTGGGACAGGAGCTTGGGTGCAAACTAGGAAAGGCCATGGTACCCCCTTAGAGGTGGGAGGCAGTGTCACTGCAGAAGGCAACAAAAAGCCCTACCTTCACACCCAAATGCATCTTTCGGGAGAACAGAGGCGATTAAGCCAATGCGAGATGCATGTACGCACAAGCTAGCACCACTTTAGGGACTTTAGTTCTCGGCTGCCTCAAGCTTGGACCTCGGTTTGCACGGACGGAAGGGTGGATGCGACCTAGGAGTGGAAAGGGCTCAGGAGATGGGCGCGGGGCCGGGGCGGTCGCGGCCCTTACCTTGCTGACCACGTTTTGGACGAGGCCTGTGCGGATGCCATAGTCCCACTCGTGGCAGTTGCAGTTTTCCGGAGGGGACGGCAAGTGTGGCGTGTCGCCCCTGTCCTCGCCGCTGATGTTGCTAAGGTTGCCCGCGGTCTCCCAGGCGGCAGTGGAGAAAGTGGCGGTTGGGGGGCTGGTCCAGTTGGCCACGTCGCCGGCTCCCCACCTGCCGGTGGCAGTGGCCCCGGCTAGCTCGGCGCCTTTGCCGGCCTCGCGGCACCAGAAGTTCGGCTGGTCCAAGAGGAAGGAGTCTGAGAACTGGCTGAAGCCGATGAACAGCGCTGGGATCCAGGTGAGCAGCACGAGGGTCTTCTGATAGCCCCCGCCCAGGCCCCCGAGGAAAGGCAGCACCGACCCGTCGTAGTCCAGCAACAGGAGGCTCGGGGCCGCCGCCGCCGAGCAGCAGCTCGAATGAGGGCCGCCGCCGGCGGGATGCGGGACGGGCAGCGGCTGGATCTCCCCGCCGCTGCTGGAGCCCGCGCGTCCCCCGAGGGGCACCGAGGCCGCCGCGTCCCCGGGCGGCAGGGAGCCGTTCTCCTCGGCCAGGGGAGGCTGCCGCCCGTGCCCGCCGCCCGCCGCCTCGCGCCGCCGGTCTATCGCCATGGCCCGGGCCCGCGGCGCCCGCAGAGGCGCATAGAGCGCGGCGGAGGCTCCTGCGGGCGCCCGGGACAGAGCGCGCCG